AGAATTATAAGCTCCAATAACAAGTATGTGACCCGTGCAATTTATATGAATATTCATCATTATTGGAACAAACAGTTTGACAGAAATAGAACCTGTTCAATTATTTGAAAAAAAAAGTTTTAGAGATGGTGTAAAAGGTCTATAGCTGCTCAGTAGGAGAGGATTTTGCTGATGTCCTATTATTCTCTAAGCTGAATGTTGGTTTTAATACACGAACAAACTATCCAGTTCGCGGAATGTAAAACGCAAAAAAGAAGATGAAAGAAATTATAATGAACAACACTCTCGTTCTCTTTCTCTTTCTCTCTCATAATAAATATTCTATTCAGATATCAGAGTGTTTGGTGAAACCGGCAAATATTGACAAACAATTAAATTCAATTGATGGGTTTCTCAGAAAAGAAACTCGTATTGCTTTTTGTCACTGTTTGTTACTATCCAATACAAACAATGTAGAACCTGTCAAGTATATATATCTGAACCAGTTTACATTAACAGAGAGAGAGAGATGGAACTATTAAGACAAATACCATAATAGTCGAATTAGTAACACTATCAGTGGAACTAGAAAATACTAAGCGCAATTAATATGATTGGAGAAGGAAGAACGAATTTCCAAAATAAAAAGTACATGTACTTGATGATAAAGAGTGAATGTAAATGCGCCATTGTGACCAATCCTGAGTCATATCATTCAAAGCCTTAACCATTTGGCCATGATAATTGAGTAGATTCGAACCACGTAGTTTAAACCGACATACACGACTCAACTCAGTAGTCAACAACTTTATGGAACGATTTTACGTGTTATTTTGGGTACCAATAGCTTTCTTATAACCTAATCCTACACCAGTGAACATCACCCATAGAAGTAGGCGATGGTTGGGCATACGTAACACATGCCGTATCAGTTGATAAAAATCAACAGCCCTGACATCTCATTTGTCATCTTTATCTAGTACCATGTATGTGTAACCTCAACATTGCTCACTTGACGTTCCAAACATACAGGTGCCTGCCTTTAAAGGCATCAATTGGTTAAAAATCAATAACCTGAGAATATTTGCTATTTTTGAAGGCCATATTTTATAGCCATAAAGTAGAGTAGGACAAATATACTACTGTGTCGTCCTTCGGTTAATTGACAGACAAATTGCCTATGCCTGCAGTGACACAATGTAGCAAAAGCTTAGCAAGCTTTCTGAATCTGTGCTGTGACGTTGTCAGATACTTAAATGTTTATTCACAACTAGGATTTTAAAATTTTTTCATTGTCTTCCTGTGTGTTTGGAGAATTATTATTTCAATCATGTTAATCAAATGGATGAATGTAGTCGATCAAATAATCAATATTTAACACATTAGTATTTCAGTCAAATCTCTCTCGCTCTCTATGTATATCAACCTACTTTGTCCACTATTCCCCTCCCCTCCAAAAAAGCACACTATCACTGTCTAATGGATGAAATGTTATTGTTTTCCGTCATTTCTTCTATTAAAATAAGAAACAACTTGTGCTATGATTGAAAAGTTAACTGTATTCTATTGTTCTCAGTTGGTATTCCCCTCTCTCCCGACGAGTCAGGAGTAGTTGAGGTACATGAGGTACATCTGTTTATCACCTATATAATCTCATATACAAATGACGTAATAAACAATGTCTTTACTATTTTGAAACATGGTAAAAACAAGACAAAACATAAACAATCTATCCCTACTCCCCTCCATTACTCCTAACAGCAAGAAAAATTATGCAAACAAACAAACAAACAAGTAAACGAAAGATAGAAAAATAGGCCTGGTGTGCAAATAAAAAAGTTTAAATACACACACACACACACACAAATAATTTCATTCTTTGGCTTTACTGGATATAAATAAGGTTCATTTAGATTTTTTTTTAAAACCATGTTGATGGTAATATGTCACTCATTCAAAAACTTATGCTATCAACATCTCATTTCGATGATCAGATTGTCATAATCTCATGCTCGTGTTAATTCTCATTACTATCGATTGGTTTTATTATTAAATGTAAGCGCAGTTTACGTATTTACTGAGTCGTCAGTTCATTTTTCTTTACTCTTTTCTCTTCAAAATTCCTTTATACATTGCTTCTTACATTCTCCTCCCCCCCCTCAGAACACAAGGTACCTTCAAGTTAGATGCAAGCCTACTAAAGACTGAACGTTATAAATAATAATCTTGGTGATGATTATAACGATGATCAGATATTTTTTGGAGATAGGATAGGGTAGAGGGAATAAATAATACTGAGGGGAAATGAAAAATTCCTCTTCAGGTGAAAACCAGTTTATTCTCTCCTTCACTCTAGCTTGCTCTTACGCTTACTCTGTGTACGTGTGTGTATGTCTTTAACGTAAAGGAAACTTAAACACTGACTTAAAAACACTATTTATTATTATTACTAATTATTATTATTGTTACTAATGGCTTTATTCAATATTATATTTTGGTACAACATAGAATTCTCAGCATCACCGTCATCCCCGTCGTTATGGAGTTGTAAAAATTGTTGAATGTTGTTGAGATTACGAACTGATCTAAATTAGAAAACTACTGAAAATCATAAGGTACTGGATAACCGTTTTATCCTGGCATGGGATTCCTTAGTGGCAGTTTGATTCCTACTCGGTAGTTTAGAGGTTGAGTGTTCAAATCAAAGACTGCAGGTCCCAGGTTTGTAACTGCGCACTGTTAAGTGGTTTCATATTTGAACGAAACGGCCGTCCTATCAATTAAGGATTTCAATAGTTGTCTAACTTAAACTGGTTTGTGATCTCAATAATATCACTACCATTGTCGATATGAAAAGAAATCAACCATGAAGAATACACGAAAACTGAGGTAAACACACATAGGGATACCTAGAGACAACTACTACTTTTACAACAGTAATGTGTGTTTACTCATAAACTTGTGGTGATTGTGGAATAACAACAATGAACCCTAGGTAAATTATCCTTTAAGCTGAGTATACTATACCTCATAAGATTTTCTTCTGAATGTTGAATGATGGATGAAAAATAGCGAAAGTCATAAAAGCACGATGTGGGAACGTTAGCGTGTTCACCTTATGTCTGAAATGATAATCGAAGTTCTAAGTCAAATTTTTCAACACTGTTCCGTCGTATCGTGAAAGTTCCCATGCCCATACATTATTGATTGCTCAGTACATAGAAAGGGGGGAGGATTAAGTTATCAATAACAATATATATGTCAACTAAAATAAGTTACCAATGTATCCTCATTTAAAATCGTCTTTAAGCCACAATTATCAGAAATTTAAATACTGATTGATAAAAATTATATTCACTACGTTGTCTAAGAATGAGACCTTTTGTCCAAAATCCTCATTGGCAGTAAGAATATAAGAGACAAGAACAGCTCAAATCAAAGCGTATTATATCATAAACCTACAAAATTACATTATCTATCCATTTCTATTGGTACTACTTCTCCGTATATGACATAATCATCTCCGAATTCAATGAGATTTTTTTTTATTAATTAATCCCTATTTCAAATAAGTATCATTTAAAAGATTTAATTCAGAGTTGAGTTGATGTTATCCATCATTTTATCTGCGTTAATGTTATCTGTTTTATCTAGCATTGTGGAACTTTTTTTTCGTTCACTCAGTACGTGAGTGATGCATGTTAGAATGCAGTTCTCACTAAAGGTTTCATTTCAAGAGTCTCGAGTTATCCTCAACTATGTGCTATGAACAAGTCAATGTAACAGAGCACAACAACTAGGATGAAAAACGTGAATTTATTGAAAGTTAGTGTTGAACAATAAATCTCTAGTAATAAGTAATGCTCACTGACTAAATGAACAGAATAACAACTGAAAAGGCTGGATATAACATATTACTCGAACATGAAAAATGTGACAGATAACATCAACCGAAAAGTTGTTATCACAATAATAATAAAGGTTATAACATGAAAACTAACCTTTACAGTTATTTAGCATAAATAAGAGAAACTCCTCTAGAAATATGTCCCTTGAGATTGGTGGTATCTCAGTCGTAAAACCTTAGTTACCTATCTAGACAACAAACAAGCACTTACTAAGGTCAAAAGTGGGTTATAAATTCATGTGAAGAATTGAGATTGGGAGTTAAAGCTACACTTATAGTTGTAGATTAAAATAAGGGTTTTCACCATTTATTGACATCAGGTATAATGTCTAGGCTAGATTCCTTGTGAAGGAGTTGTAAACACACACTCCCGAGAAATTCTATATTAAGAAGAAAACGTTTTATTGTGCTTTCAACTGTTCAATGGTTGTTTAATTTAGATCAGTTCATGATTTCAATGTCAAACAAAACAAGCTGGTTAGTCAATTGTAGCGGAAAAATTCTAATTGTTCACTTATCCTTGAAGTGCTTGCTGATAAGGTTGTCTAAAAAGACAAGATTAAACATACAGAAGCTCAGATACTATAACATCTGAAATTCCTTATCTTAAGCTACAACTAAATTACAACAGCATATGAAGGTAAACCCTATTATCAGTGTGGGGATTTGTGGAGATTGTAGTGTTTTCACAGTTGAATTCACAAGTCGATCTAAGGTAGACCTTCACTAAAATCCTGGAGGCACTGGACGGCCGTTTCGTCCTAGTACCTGACTTCTCAGTGGTGAGCATACACGATCCCGATGACGGCCCAGTGGTTTAGAGGTTAAGCGTTAGCTCTAGACCAAAGGTTCTGGGTCTGAGTCCCACGCGTGAGGTCGTGGGTGTAAATTGATGAGAAGTTCCATGCCAGGACGAAACTAACGTCCACTGCTTCCAGGTTTTCAATGGTGGTCTAGCTTAGATCGCCTCGTGAATTCAACCGTGCAAACCCTATTATTTTAAGACTATTATCAAACGATACCACAATAATAATGATGTCAGTAAAATAAATATACAGCGGAAATGAACTAACAAAAACAATCTGATCAAAGATATACATAAATAGACACATACTTGTGGACTTATCGGAATTTTCAATAGTTCTACCTTGTCTTTCCAATTCTATAATAGATGATTCCTGATTGACAGATGGTTTCATTTGATGCTCTCTATCTCTTGTTCTAGCGCCAATACTATTACTACTATTATTATTACTATTAGATGACTTCCCTACTACTGACATAGTAGTGGTGATCGCAGCCATGGGCAACGAAGTCACCGTTGTTACTGCCGTTGATGTTAAAGTTATTGCTGGAAGCGGTGGTGGTGTTGGTGTTGTTGTTATCATCAATTCGTCTTGTCTAGTTGCATCGAACCAACGTTGTTTAACAGCTTTATCAAACAATGATGATGTGAGGCTTGTATGAGAAGTGGTAGTAGTGACAGCGACAGCTGTAGGAGCGGCGGAAGGTGGAGGCAGAGGAGCAGGAACAATGGGAGTTGTGGTGTTCGAGTCGAAAAATGCACCATTTGCTGAGGCGGGATTAGAAGCAGCTACAGCCGCTGCAGCAGCGGCGGCGGCTGCTGCTGCTGCCGCGGCAGCAGTTGTATCAAATTCTTTAGGATCAAAATTTGTGGTATTGCCGCCACCGACACCAATACTACTGCTACCATTATTATTCGCAGCGGCAGTTGATCTTGGAAGCCATGACATTGACGCAGGGTTAGATAAACCGGAAGCTGCTGCCGCCGCAGCTGCAACCGCCATAGCCGCAGCAGCTGCGTTCGCTGATGTCGATTGATGAGGAAGTTGAGGATCAGTTGCAGTTTGAAATTGACCAGTTAGAACAGGATGATGAGTTGACATACTGGTGATGATTTGATTGTGCAAACTTGAAACACTTGACAATAATGCTGCCGCTGCACTAGCTATTAAAGCTGGATGACATGAAGTCGGTGGTGTAGATGGTGAGGGAATAGTTAATTTATCCACTATATTATTGTTGGATGATGAACAATCATTTGGATTATTTGGAAATACGGGTAGAGCAGGTGGCAAATTACAATTATTAATATTATTATTAGTAGTATTATTACTACCATTATTATTACTGGGAATTTGATTTATCAATGTATTTGAATCATAAGTTGTATCTAATGTTGAATGATGATTCGATGTAGACCAACGTGATGTTAATGAATGTACTGCACTACGTCTATGATGTAATGGTAAATCACGCAGCACAGACATTGCAGTGCAATCAGGTATAATTAATTGATCTGTACACCATGATTCTGAAGTAGTTGTATTACTATAAACTGGACTACAATGCATTGGATTATCAGTACGATAGATTGAATTAATATTTTGTACTTGAGATTCGTATAAGGAATCTGAAAACAAACATATATATATACATGATACCAATTATTTAAGTGTAGCTTATTATGTTAAAAAAAGCAAACAACAAGGCTTACATATTTGGTAGATATAATACAATTAATGAAAAATGTTAAAGGTTTATAGGAAGTTTTCTCACTTCTTGATTACATATATACCGTAGGAGGATATTTTCTCTTGAAGTATTTGAAATATGAACAATCTAGACTACAGTCAGTCTTGATGATCTGAAAGCATGACGCAGAGTTCAAGGAACAATAGCTTGAAGTCGATTATATGGATAACATGGCTCAGAATCGGTCACAATAGATCATGAGTTCTAAGGATATCCTATATTGTTTTATTTCACAAATTCATTCATTTTCCCCAAATTATACTGTCTAATCATTTCTAATACAAATAATAGTGGTGGTCTAACATTGATCGGTTCATGATCTCAATTAAAACTCAACAATCTCCACAACCCTATACTGATAAATAATACTGTCGTTATATGTTCATAACTCTAGCATCACTCAATGGTGATATGGTGTAGCAACTTGAACCTGAGATAATGCCGTGAGTAATATGAAAGTATAACATTTGAGACTATCATATAAAGGATTATTGATATTGTTATGCCATAAATATTAGATTTTTAGACTATTATATTTTTGTATTAGCCTAATTCTAAGGTTTCGTTTGACCCATGGATAGTTATCATATGTATTGTCAGTTCAGATTTATTATCAACAATTATGTTCCTATTACTCTAGTTTGTATTACTTATGAGTAAGCTATGTACACATTATAATTTTCGAATTGTGTTACTTACTATCTAGTCAGACATTCTAAAAAAATATTGTTACAAGAGTCTTGAGTTATGATTGTATAATCTATGTTCATCTTCTGATTGAGCATCTTATATGATGCGTGTGTATCAAAGATACATAAGCTTACGCTGATGCACATCATAACATACACATGGGTATAAGCACTCTTAGAGAGATTGATGGTTGTCTCTCCATATGTTTCATAGAGCAAATTGTCTTTTCTCTTTCTGGCACTTATACGGTGTATATATATGTCCGAGGTACGAAGACTTACGTCCATGCACATCTTGAAATAAACAGCCAAAAGCGATCTTAAGAGAGGGCTGATGGCCACCACTCTTCGCAATTGTACTTGCTGCACCTTTATTTTTAGCTTGAACGGAATTTGTTTCATAGGGTAGGTCTGTTTTGTCACATGGCAGACTTTCTACTCGATCTCACTCAGGTCAAGCCCAGCGCATTCATAGCCTACATAAACAAATTACACGATCCGAGACTCATCTAATTCATATTTATATTCATGTACAAACTGTATCCCTATACGATTTTGGTGTCTTAAATTGTGGGTTTTTGAGTAAACCGGTTACGACAGTGTGGTGGATTAGTCTGGTCTCCGTCGACCGCCCAAGTTAGATAATGAGATTCCCCCCACGGCCCAACAGTTCCACAAGGAGGTCTTAAGTCGTATTTTACTGGATTGTGCTACTTCCTGATAGGCTATTACCACTTTTCTTTGTGCCCCAATGTTATGATTGGTTACCGTATATCGAGAGTTGTTCCATTTTAACTTATGAAATGTTGTGTCCTTTTTGAATTCCATCGTTGGAGATTGTTGTAGAAGATTTGCTTGTGTGTGTGTGAATTCCCCTTGAATCAAAATAATTTTGACCGTTCGTAATTAACGATCACTGTAGACTCAACTGAACAGATCACAAGTTACAATAGTATTCATCACAAACTAATTTCAAAAGACGTACCACTGAAAACCAAGGAGTGCTGAATAGCTATTTTGTCTCAGTTTAGGACTCCTAAGTAGTGCTAACGAAACAGCTACTCGGATGGTCAACAGTTTTCTCAATGCGACCTACATTAAGTTCACCCAATTAGGAATACTGGTGTGATTTCCGTTTTGACCTGTATATTAACCAGGTATGTTTGAAACAAATAATTCGTATAGTGGAAGCTGGTATTGGTGTTCTAGACTCAACTGGCAGAGCTAGGAGGAAAAGGGATCAATAAGGAAGCTAGGCTGCTCATACCGGTCGATACGTCATTGGTTTGTCACAGTGCTAAGATTGTATAAGTCGTATTCCCATTGGCAAATAAGTCACGTGATAAATAACCGAACGTCAAGCCACAATAAATACAACCTAAGAATCAAACTAATCTCTACAAAATCCCCTTCACTTAAATTAGTAACCGATTTAAGTTACACGACCATTGAAAACCTGGAAGCACTGGAAGGCCGTTTCGTCCTAGTATGGGTTTCTTCAAAAGTGTGAATTTACAAACCCGCATGCAAGAACAGAACCCTAAACCTTCGGTCACATGCTCGAACACTTAACCTCTTGACAACTGAAATCGACATCCAATGGTGTTAATGCCTAACTGCAATCAATGCACGACACTGTACGACCATCTTATATTATCTTCGGTGGGTAACTGCCTCACACCAAACATGATAGGTCTCCTCTGGTCACAACTTCTTACTATAACTCCAAGAATCACCTTTAAAAGCTAGTGACTAGTGATCACATTGATAATTGACAATATAAGGTTGTGGAGATTGTTGACTTTCATTGAAATCAATCAAACTTAACAATTTCCACAGCACTATATTGACAAATCCCTTTAAGTTCAATCTATTACTATCTACTATACAATCGAATGAAAAAATAAATCCAGGGAAATAACTAACTTGATTCTAATTCTGTCTTATCCGGCAATTCTAATGTTCCATTTGCCAGGGAATTAACGGTAGAATCTAAATGTCCATTTGTATTCCAATTAAAGGAACCAACTTGATTAATTGTTTGATTATTATTAGTAGTATTGCTATTACATCCAGGAAAACAGTTTAATGAACAATTTCCAAATGATGCAGGAACTGAATTACATAATGATGATGATGATGATGATAATGATGAATTAGTTGACCATTCAAAAGTTGTACCACCACAACGCGCTCTACCGATTAGATGTCGTACCATTGCATTTAAACGTTGTGATTCTTTACGAACCTAAATCATATCAATAATAATAATAATAGATCGTAAATGAAAAAAACTAAATGAAATCAATGCATGGACGAAAATTTAAGACTTTTCATTACTCCATTACTTTATACATTAACAGTAATTATGCACTTATTAGTGACTAATTTCAAGAGGTAAATCCCGGAGTTCTGTTGAGATGTAATTAGTGGAATTTAATCAGTAGGGTCGATCTTTATACCAATTCTCCACTGTCAGCCACAATGCAATATGAACAAAAACTCTGACTAAATAGCCATCCGCTGACGATGCACATATGCCGAACGAGACTGATCGATTGTAGTCGTAAACATCAACAACGGTAAAATACAAGCCCTTAAGAACACATAAAGTTCAATACTATTTGGATAAGTAAATCCTTTGTGGTAGATTAGAACGATCAAACGTATATATATATATATATATATATATATATATATATAAGAGAGAGAGAGAGAGAGAGAGAGCGTCAGTTAACCCTTCAGTCAGTCCGTCAATTGGCCGCTACGTCGAACCAGGTATGTATGTACATCAGTTCAAGTTCCTGCACTCTATTAGCATAAAGAGATGGGATTTTTAGGTTAAATTCTAGAGTACCAGAGGTAGTAACAGCATCAGTGGTAGTAGAAAAGATCAAACATAAAAAATACGATTTAAAAAAAATAGATTGGTGAAGCAAAAAAATTATCACGGATTCAAAACTTTACAATCTAAGAGAAGATGAAGATTCAATGAACTTCCATCATCACAAACGATTCTGAATCATGTCATTCAAAGTCTCCAATCATGGGCTACGATAATCACGCCAATCACAACCACGTAGTCTACACCTAGCTACATGACTTAGTCTAATTGTCAGTGATTTCATAACCTGGTGTCATGTTTTGGTTTGGCTGCCCCCAGTTTTCTTTCAGTCTACCCCTACACCACACAACATTCGCCGTCGAGGTAGGCAGTGGTTAAGAAAACGTAACACACGTCTCAACCACCCCACTTTATGAAGATTTACTACCTCGTCAGTCGATTTGCCATCTTTACCTTACTTTCTCGGTGGTCCCAAAATTCATGAGTGATACTTCCAAGACATCAACAACCGAATACTAGTAACTTATAAATATCACCTATTCTGAATACTCATATTTCTCATCCATGAAGTCGAATGAAGCAAACTACTACTCAGTAAACAGGTTATTTAGTTGACAGACGGATATCTTCAGTCAGTCGGTTGGTCGATCGATCATAGCCAACATAAAATCCTTTAAGCAATTGACAATAATTGATTTCAACTGTTGGAATAATCATAAACTTTATATCTAGTTAAATTTTTTGAAGGCTCACGACATTCTTACTGGTTTCATCGCTCGTTATACTTCAACTTTTATCATCAGTTTACAGCTACTCATCAATGCATTACGTATGTAAATTTTAAGTAGTACCAGTTTATTTTCAGAATGGGGGTTTGTGAAGATTGTAGTAATCTAATAGTTGAATTCATGAGTTGATTTAAGCTAGATCACCTTGGAATACCTGGAAGCACTAGACGGTCATTTTATCCTAGTGTGGAACTCCTCAGCATTGAGCACCCACGATCCCACACATAGGACTCGAACCCACACTGGGACGAAACGGCCGTCCAGTGCTTCCAGGTTTTTCATGGTGGTTTAGCATAAATCGACCCATAAATTCAACCATTTTATTTGCTTATTACTTCTTTGAAAATAATTGAACACATACACAGGAAAGTTTCATCATATATAATAATAATTCTTATATGGATGAAAGAAAAGACACTTACTGTTCTCAAGTACAATTCTAACCTTGATGCACATACTTCAACTTGAGCAAGGGCTTGTAATGATAATTGATGTGTTTTATTCAAGTGTCTATAATAATAAAAATAATAATAATAATAATGAGAGATGGGAAAACACATGCGTTTGAACTGGGAAAAAATATAGGAAAAAGGAAGAGAGATAGATAAGCGAAACTATCTAGTGTTATATTAATTGTATGGTTGATAGATTTTCTATTCTTCACACTTTTATGTTTATGGAATAGATGTAATATGGTTAGTAGTAAAATCCAGGAAACGTAATTCTTCAAGTTTCAGACTCATCAGCTTGATGTACCCGCACATTCCAGTTTTGATATTTATTACATTGCGGCGAGTGCCTAATACCTTTCACTCCAAAAGCTCAAAGTGGTATCCCCAAATTAATAAGTCTAGATAACCGTTAAATTATTCAACGAATATGATATTTATATCACTATTAGTCTTAATTAAAAATATATCAATACTAGGAGGCAGGTACATTCAACTGACAAGTTGGAAATAGTATGAGATGCCCATCTACTGGATTCCACTGTTATCCCCAATTTATTTATTCTGTAAAACATTTGACAGAATCCCTATATCAAAGCAATGTGTACTAGATTCACATATATCAACAAAGACTGATCGAAAATTCGGTTCTGAATATCAACAACGGGATAATTCAAACTCTTACGAATAATGATATAAATCATATATATATATACTTATGCTGGCAGATATAAGTAGTATGTAGCAGCAATCGGAATTGAAATGCCTGTCAATGGAAGACTGAATTGAAGAGAATGAGAAGGGAAACAGTGAAAAATTGTAATAACAATAGAATTGAAAGAATTATGGAGCATATAAAGGATGACTGAAGGTTGATGTGAAAATGATATATTCAATGTATGGTTTACATGTATATAAGTAACTAACTGTAAGCTAGTTAGTGTCAGTCAATAGCTCCAAGCATTACAAACACAAAGAAATAAGTAAAGAATTTTGAGTACATTACAAGTTACTGCGATGGCAAATACGAGATATAATTTTCTTCCCTATCAATCTTTGAAGACAGAAACAATGATAGTCTAATGAATACACTGGAATTTAAACATTTCATATATAATAGATAAGTCAGTCAGTTAGTTGCAACGTAGAACCTCGTACCTGTGAAGCGCGGAGTAGTAGACGTAGTAACTGAAAAGGTCAGACATAGAAGATACGGTTCCAAACAAAAAAAAATTATCACGGATTCAAAACTTTACAATCTAAGAGAAGATGAAGATTCAATGAACTTCCATCATCACAAACGATTCTGAATCATGTCATCCACAGTCTCTAATCATTGGTTACGATAATCACGCCAATCCCAACCACGTAGTCTACGCCTAGCTACATGGCTTAGTCTAATTGTCAGTGATTTCATAACCTGGTGTCATGTTTTGGTTTGGCATTGCTGCAGATGCTGGTTGTCTGAGGAAAACACCTCACTGTTGTCAACCTCCTCCCACAGTCATCAGTAAAACTTCACTCTCGGACATTAAGTTACTACTTTTAGTCTTAGCATTATCCAACCGACATCCCTGACATGGCAGAACCTAAAAGAACATGTTTTACACCCAATATAGCTCGACTGAGTCATCACAACAGACAAGCCTGACCACCACATCAAATCAGCAGCTACAGTCAGAATATATGGTGGATAGGTAGAAATTGTTATATCAATTTAACTAGCGATTCCGTCTGGAGTCTTTAGGGTGAAAAATACCATTCAGAAACAACTCCAATCAGTCAAATCGGTGAACAACTTTCGCAACTGAAGATGAGTAAACGGCAGATGCTCATTGTTACGAATATAAAATATGCCTTTTGAAAATCGATAATTTCATCTCACTGTATTAATGTGATATGGTAACTTGAACCGATGAACACGTATATCAGGTTCTAATTGTTTATGACTAACTGACCAAATGAATATCGAGACAACCCTCTCAGGTTGCACACATACAATAGAGAGTGAGCAATTACAAACCCTAACACCAACAACGTGAAAACACAAGCCCTTACAAATAAAATTTATACCTGTTGCATAAGCTAATGAATATTTAGAATCAACAGCTAAGTGCATAGCACGCTGAACATTTAAAGTGATAGGTATTGTGTTCCAGAATTAGTGTGAACATCAACACTGAAATACAAGTTTATCCAGTTGACGAGTCCCAGATAGAACGAAACACCCCTCCTATTTTCCGTTACTAACCATGAATCCAACTTTAATGAATATTATAAATATGCCTTCTTAATTCTGATGTTCTAACATTAATTCTTGGGTGGTTTTATTAATTAATTAAACTGTTCAAACTTATTTGTTCTAATTCTAGACGCACAAACAATTGATTAATCATGTTTTAAACTATAAAATCATTCAGTTTGCTTCTTATTCCTCCTCCTCCTCCTCCTCCTCCTCCTCCTCCACCTCCTCCTATTGTTTACATTGTTTTCCTATCTTAACTCCAGATTTGTGTGAACATGTGCATTTATCCCTGTATATGTAGTCTATCTCAAAATTGTAACAAACTGAGAGAAACCAAACACTAAATATGTTTCAATTTTGTACACCATCTACACTTTCTATCCTTTTTCTTCTATAAGAATATAAATGGATGTCTATAAAGCGGACCAAGTACAAACAAACAAACAATAAACGAACGAACAAACAAGTAAACAAACAAGCACATATCCGTTGACCTTGACCCGGTTTCTGTTTTCTAAACATGAGATTTATCTGTCTAGACATACAGTTTGGTTTACTGAAATGACGTAAACTAGATTAAAACCAATTTATTTTCGATACAACAGCTGATTAAGTTCGACTGGCCGACACCTAGTTCAAGACATTGTGACATTAATAAATAGTAGACAAGTGAATGATGATTAGATGGAAAAAACTAGGACATACAATACACATACAAATAAAGAGATGTAATCAATATACGTTAACGAAAAGATAATACCACTTATGTTACTTATGGATTTGAGTAGTGTGATATTCTGTCGAAAAAGTTAATCTTTATCCATTTTATAGGTCAAATAACAGTTTCACATGTCATGAGTAAAACTTATCACCTTTCATACATATATACACATAATCAGACTGATCTCAATGAAGAGGTTGTGTATGGTGTCAAAATGTTGGCACAGATACAAAAATCCCTTTCGTTTTGTATTAACTTGTGCTACAGTTGAGTAACTGTCTACTCTCTGCTACTTTATAACCCTAAAACATGATATTTGCAATTAGTTAATCAATGAGTAGTGGCCAATAAGGTATTTGTCTAGTCACTGAGTGCTAATCGAATTTTTATCATTCAGGTTGTAATGTGGTCTCTGGTCTAAATGACTCAATATCGTGTGCACCATGCTGAGATATAAGGTAGTTTTTTGAGGAAATCAACAGAAAACCCTATAATGACTTAGGTTTTGTGCTAGTTACTACTTTTCATCAAGATGTACTTGTAATCTTGAGGGAACTGACGCTCCCAATAGAATCATAACCTGAGTTACCAAGCTTCATAGTCAGACACGTTATCACCGATCTATTCAGACTGAGAATGATCTCCCTTTTTGACCAAAGATATCAAAGAGATTAGATGAAAGTATGAATTGATGAACATTTGCTAATACACTTATTGGAACCTATTTATCTATACATATTTCGAGCACCCCTTAAACCTTAAAAATAATTTTTTTAATGGTCTACATCAATTATTTAAAATCAGGAAGCGATCGATAGTTGTTCAATAGTGACTAATTTTGAGAGATAGTTCATGGAGACTTAGCGAAAATCTATGATCAATGAAATTCAATCATGTTAAATGTGAAGCAATTATCTAACGGTACCATTGAGATATGGTCTCGTGAATCGATTTTAGTTGGACATATAAACCACCTACAATTGACTGATCACTATGTGGTGATGAATGTCATGTACGTCAAGTCGTTCTGAGTGCAGATCGAATCCTATAGACCGAATTGCAATATGGCCAACAATCTAGGTCACTTGACATTGCGTGCACTATGTTGAGATAAGATATGTTGTAACAACACTGGAATTGTTCATTGCTACACGAATCCACACTTAAACATGACATCTTACTTCTGTTACCAGGATTTTCAAATGTTGCTTCACAAGGGATAAATGTATCGTAAAAATTATTCAACATTTACATCTTTCTAAATTATCTACTCTTATGTAGATAAATATTTCTCGCCATTACATGTTACATTGATTATTGTATCAACCTGATAATACCTGGAAACTGGTATACATTTCATATCAATTATCAGAAAGCATTTGAATTAGCTCACTGTTCATAATCTTGATGAAATGTCGATTAGTAGATCAGTGGGAAAATGAGTTGTGCGTTTGAAATGAAAGCTACTGGATCCAGGTCCCAATGGAATTGAAATCAACATTGTGATACAGGTATATCAATACAACTGACGAGTGGCCAACTGGACTCATTTAGCTACAATCCATCTATCCTATATGATAATTTCCAGGACAAACTTATTTATTTAGACTTGTAAGTACAGTACATCTGAGGGGAACGGTGTTGAAAATCAATCATAGGTAAGTGCGTTGCTAAACCTTAATGAAATTGCGACAACGACAACTGTCTAATGACCCCCCTCGAGTGGTTCACACTTTGCATCAGTTTATGATCAAAATAAATCGATAACCGTAATCGTATGTTAGTTAATTAGATGATATTTGTTACAAGGTGTATATTGAAACTTTTTGAAGGAACTAATACTTCGTAATTGGTATTTAGGACTAGACAATTATAATGGTTTAGCAGAGTGAGATAGTGACTCAAGACGCGTGTATCATCCTACTTTAGGACTCATCATTCGAATACATCAGCATCGAAATATTGATGTTCAACAGACACAGAGAGAGGCTCGAACCCAGAACCCTTGCCTTTTAAAGACGTCAAAACATTAGCCATTGAGCTACTACTACTACTACTAATACTGAGACCAATCGGAAAACATTAACCCTTGGAA